GGCTCTTAGCTGAGTCTGCTCACCATCACTGGTGGTGAGAAACAGAGCTGCTTCTTTTGGTGGCAGCAAGCTGTTAGATTAGATTAGCTTTCTTGGGTAATTGCATCCTTAAAGGGTCTGGAAGGAGTCTTTACATCAGCAGTTGTCTCCTTGCTTGAATAGCACTGATTCTTTCAAAGACACTGGATCAACATGAATAGGCTTAAACCACCTATAGAAGAAGGTTTTTCTTTCTATTCCCTGAAGTATGGTGCTGGTCTCTTTTCTTTGTCTTCACCTTTGTTGGTTCTGTGGCATTCCATTTGGGAATGCGGGCAAGGTACAATTTGAGCATACAGAGAGTAGAGATCCTCTTTAAAAGCCCTCTTTTGAGTGTGCCTGTTGGTTCTATTCTCACTAATGTTCTGGGCCATGAGATTTTACTACACAAAGGAGCAAATCCAGGATAAGGGCTTCGAGATCCTCAGTTTAGCCTTTATTTATTGGAGGGTAAACAACATCGCTGAATTGTTACTTGAAACAAGTCAAGTTTTCAGTCTCTTTGGACAAATTAAAAGTTTTTCCAGATCAAAAGAACTGAATATTTCATTTTGATGGGAGTAAAGGGTGTTAAATTGTTGTTTTCTTAAGCGAATAAACTGTATGTCTGACTTGTTTCATATTTGAAACTGTTTGTTTCTTGAATTATTAAAGAAATCAGAGCACAACTAAGTGCCACAAATCCTTTTTAAAATAAAATCTTTTTAATTGAACAGTACAAGTAAGTCACTATTATGAGTATTGATGTAAAATGTATCTAAAAAATTGAAAGGTTAATTACAAATGTTTCCTAAGGTCAGTCTGTACTAGTCTTGGAAATCATTTTGCACTTGCTTATTGGAGATCTTGCTGCATGTGTTCTTGATTTCCATTCCCCTTTCAGACTGAGCAACTGTACTTCTGTGTAGATGGGTCCCTAGATAGCCTCTGTATTAGAGGCAGAGTGTACTTTTAGCTTTTGCAGTTTATTTACAGGGCATAAAGACTTTGTCTTTAGAGTTAGTCAGAAAGGAATCACATACTAATTTTCTGTGTTTACTCACAATTAGGTTACTCTAGATTTTCATCCAGTGATTTTTCTATTCCAATTTAAGATTTTACTGTAATAAATTTTAGTCTAGTAAGAAATTCGTTTACATGACTTTGAACAGAGAAAGTCTTTTCTTTCTGCGTGCACAGTGAATTAGTGTTGAAATACGTCTGTATTTTTAGGTTATGAATTGCATGAAGTAGTACATGTTAATAGAGTAGGTAAACCACATGTATTTTTGTGATACAAAAAATTAAGTGTGTAAAACCACACATTTTTGTGATACAGAAGATCAAGTGTGTAAAAAGCACTTATCAGTCTGCTTTATGGAGTTGCCTAAGTACATTAGGAAGCCACGTTCTTCAGATGGACAATGGTGAATGTATTACCACATCCTACAGTTAACTTTTTAAGAATTTTTGGTGGTGGATGTGTTTGGCATCTGCCTTGCATGAAGACAAGAACAGGAATTTCCTTTGAAGAATAACCTAGAAACTTAAATGTTTAATTACTTTGAAATAACAAGGGGATAGGGCAGTGGTGTGTACTTATGGTAATGTCCTTGTTCACTGTTTTCAGTTCAATGTGCTAAACTATTCTTATGTTTATCTTAAATATGAAATTAAATAAGGCCTTTCTCTTACAAAGGAAGTTACAAGCACAGAAAAGTAGCGTTACAGCCAAAACGCTATGCTGTCTTCAGACATTCTTAGAAAGTATTTTATCTATGGAGTTGGGGGGGGGTTGGTTTTGATTTTTGTCAGCAGTAACATAATGTAGTGCTGCTTATTGCTGTCTTGTCAAGCGTCTTGCATGCATGGGTCTTGCATACTTTCTAGTATTTCACATCAGCAAATGGTCATAACTAAAACGTCTTGGTCACAAGTCAGTAGAATGTGGTAGAAGTACTCTGGATATTAGCAGTCTTCAAATATGTATTAACCTGATTGGACACAGCTGTGGGTATGGACATAATGTGATCTTCATGTGAGCGCATACAATTTGGTAACTGGAAAAATGGCAAAAAAAATTATCTTGCTTCTTTCACTGTCTTCCCACCCTCCAACCAAGACTACAGATTAGTTGTGTGGCATGCAGCTAGAATGATGAAGTCTGAGAAATACTTCCAAGTGTTCTCAAAGTTCAAAAGAATCTAGAACATTATGTCACGTTTTGGGACAAATAAGAGTTCTGGGGTTTGTGCTTTCTACTCCTCCTAAACCACTGTGTTCTCCTTTCCTAACTCTGTTTTTAATTTTATAAATTTAATATTAGTCTTTAGTGTTAACTCTTCCAGTATTCCAAGGCCTGTGATGCCCCTTGTAAAGCAGGGGCGAAAATAGTCTTTCCAAAGTTAATGTGTTAAATAGAATGTAAATTTTGATGATGTCTTTTACTTTATTTATAAATATTTATATTTCTGTGCTGTGTTGTGCAAAATGCAGTGTCAAACAGAAAAGTTGTGCTGTGCAAAGTGATCTGTGAAATGCATTAGCAGCACTCGGTATCTGTTTAAATACTGAGTTTGTGAGAAGAGTGATGTAACACCACATAAATGTTCTCAGTTGCTGCACAACTTGGGTTTACTGATACTCTGTCAAAATTTTAAGATCTGTTTTTCTAGTTACTATAACTGCAAGAATTTCTGGGATGTCTTTGTCTAGAAGGAGTAGAATGGAGAAAAGGTTACTTTTTTCTGGAGAAAAACAAATCTGAAGAGATTCTATGGGTTCTGTTTCTGTAATCTACCTTAGCGAACTCAACACCTCTGTTCTAATAGGCATGAACTCTACAGCTACTGCTTAAGTTACAATTTGGTATCTAGATTGTGTCTGTGTAAACTTTACTGTGGATGGATGCAGAGTGCAGAATTCTTGTTCTTAAACTGTCTCAGGGAGTTGTAGGGTACAGAGAAGTTTGATCATGGCTTCTGTATTTTTCTGCTTCTATAGGGCATTGCTGAGGTTTTGTCGGAATGTGGAGCACAAGGTATATTCTTATGTTTTATATAGAAAGGCATGTATGCCACACAGCACTGCATGATTTAAGCTTTCTGGGACCATTGCCACTTAAGTCCTCTTGCAAATCGGAGTGAAAGCAACAGGCCTTGGTGTCATATTTTAAGTTCAGTTGTGGTTTGGGTGGTCTTACCGGTCCTAATTTGATGCCAATTTTGCTTGTTTAAGGCATTAAAATTTAAAGTAGTCGTTTGGCTTTGCTGGGTTTCATCTTGCCTTCAAAGGGTAATAGCTGGTGGTGGTTCTTCTAACAGAACTTGCATATAACTTATGGCATTCACTACATTGTAGTTTGCATTAATACTAGTGCTGATAACTGCTCTACAGTTGATGGCATTTATCCTAATGATATTTTTTTTTAAAGTCATATTTTGTATCGAAATAGGATAGCAGTGTAGTGGGAAAATTGCTTTACAGCTAGCTTTTTGTTTCCTTCTCTTCTCCTGCTCCTTGGTTAACTTGGTTCCCACATTCCTTGTGGGGGGATTAAAAAGTAGTTCTAATGGGAACATTGAAGCCAGTTAGAATTCTAACTACAGATTTCTGATTAGTTTCACAGTTTTGACCATTTCTTTAATGAACTGTCTGTTCAGGACTCAGATCAGAGTCCTGCTTCCCTGAATTGCCTAGGAAAGTGAGAACCATGTTATGTGATGAGCATGTGCAGCATCATTTCTTTCATCAGTAAAAAGAAATGATCATTAGAACACTTCCTGCTGCCAAGATCAAGCAATAAAGACTTGATCAGAAGAAGAGTTTTGGGATGCAGATTCCGTCTCTTCCCCCTCCTGCGTATCCAGGTGCTAAACTAGTGTATTTTGTAAGTGAAATAGGAGGAAGTTTAGTTGAGTGTGATTGTGGTGTTCTCAGCTCTATCCTGCTGCCTTGACTAGTGAAGGCATTAAAGAGTAAGGGGTTTGAAATCTCAGTTGGTTTGCTTCAGGTTTGAGTGCTAATATAGCAGATCTTGCTAATTTATGACTTCTTCGGTCTCTTGTGAAGTTTTGAGTTGTCCTTTTAAATAATAATTTCTAAAGCTTTATATAATTCCAAAGAAAGCTGCTGGTCCCTCTGTGGCTGTTGGATTGGAGCTTTAGGTGCCTGTATACCATCTCTGCTATGACTACAGGAGTTTGAAATGCAACAGATTCAGTCCTCGGTGTAGATAACATTGTTTTTCAAGCGCATTTATTTCTGCGTGAGCCTGCAAAGAACATACCCTTGCTGTTTCTTAGTGAGATTGAATTCTTTCAACCTCTATGATGTGGATCCCTGAGATATTCTATATCCATGTTATTTCACACTGCTCCTTTGCAGAACAGTTAAAAGGTAAATCCTCCCCATTCATGATACCCCAGTGCACTTGCAGCTGTGACCTGTCCCTTGTTCAGTGATATAACTTTCCCTGCATTTTTTTGAGTGCAGATAGTTCTAATTGTATGACACAAATAAGAAGCAAGCTAATGTAAGCTGCTTTCATTTTTCCCACTTGTCACTACTATGGTGATGCTTGTTGTGCAAGCAGCTAACTCTTCTGGTACTCATGTGTTTAATTTTGTTGCTTCCACCATTTGTGAAGGGCAATTTGCAGATGTTAGTTACTGTGCTGTTAGGTGGGGTGGTTTGCATAGAAACTTAGCAATGCATTTAACCTTTAAAAATAAAAGCACTGTTGCTGGTCTTTGTTGAACAAAAACAATTTCCAAGTTGGAAGTACCAGTTGCTAGACAGCACTAATGATGCTCATAAATTGTAAACCGGTTGCAAATGATCTATAGCTAACTCTCCATCATGTGTCTCTACTGTACAAAGGTGTGATGAAATGGGGAGAGCACTCTTTAAATCCATAGCAGTCATTTTTAATTTCAAGTTGCGATCTAAATAACTGTGTAAACTATTTCTGTATTTCCCAGACTACATTTTGAAAGAAGATGAAGAACAGAAAGCAATGTATTCAAGATACTGAGGGTCAGAAGCATGAAGGCATGGAAGGTAAAATCTGTGTGTGTGAAAATACTCAAGTACATTATTCAGGTTCAAGCTGTGAAGGTCAGATTGTACATTTGCTCTCAATTAGTATGTTGCTTGTTTTGAAGGAAATTATGTAAGCATAACCACTATCTTAGCATAATATTTTTCTTTGACCTGTGGGGTACCCAAATCCTTTCTTGTCTTTTCTATTTTTAAAATGTTGATGTCTAGTAGCAGAGCAAAAATGGAGATAGCAATTGTTATTCAGAAAAAATAATTAATTTAGAGTAAAATTCCTTGAAGAAATGTTCTTGCATTTTTATATCCTGAAAACAGTTTCTAACTTTAACAGAATTGGGAGCACTTCTTATTTAATTTACATGATTAGGTAAATATTTGAAGATGTTCAGATTAAAATAATTCAAAGACTGGTAAACTGAAATAAAAGTAGACCATGTGTATATAAGATAATGAATATAGAATAAGCTGGTCTAATTTATTTCATGGAGAGAGTGCAAATGTCTGAGGGGGAAGAACGCGGGAGAACAGTGTTTAAATGACAATGTGACCAATAGGAAACACTGTGATGCTTTCTTTATTTAAATAGCACTAGAGCTAACTTTGTTTTATGGCAAATATTGGTACAGTAGTCTATGAAAAATGGTGCATAGTGTTTTTCACCTGAAACACATTCCTTTAATTACATCTGGGCAGTGTCTTGACTGCATTAGACGTGAAAACTTGATTAACTTGCTTTTAAATACAGAAAAGTCTATCTTATTGCCTTATGATTAAAGTCTAGAAGGACTTTGTTTCAAAAACTGTCAAAAATTCTAAGTGTCAATGTTAACAATACCAGGTGAAGAAAATGAAGAAAGCTATTCCTGTTCTACTTTATTATATGATGGTGACACATGCCCCATCTGTCTGAACTGCCTTCTAGAGCAAGAGATTGGTTTTCCTGAAACCTGCAGTCATACCTTCTGCATGGCTTGTATTCTTAAATGGGCTGAGGTAAGACTGAGAACCAAGGTGTGTGTTTGTTTTTCAGTGAAATCTAATGCCTACAGGTTTGGTTTGTTGTTTATTTAAGAAAATAAGTTACACGTTCTGACTTTGCACAGAAGTGTTTCAGTGACCAGTTTATAAATACATCATAGGAAACTTTCTCCTTAGTGCGATGAAGTACTTTGTTTTCTTTCACTGGACATCCTGACTTCTATGGTTTCTAGAGATTAGGGGACAGCAAAAATTAGTGTTGGCCATTTGAAAGATCAGACAGTATTATGTACATGTCATAATACTGGAGTGTCATTAGCTTGCTTTTGCTATCCCTTATGCTGTTTGTCATGTTGTCAACTCTTAGGGCTGGGACTAATACGTTTTCATGTTAGTCTACAAGATGAGCCTGATAAAACCTTAGTTTTCTAACTCTAAAGAGAATTCAGCTAAAAGGTTTAGTACTATTCTGAATTTTAATAAAATCAATTTAAATATGCCTGTTGCTAAGTATGGCTATGACTTGATCTGTGTCAGTACCTTTTAGATAGTTCTGGAACCTTAAAGACAAATGATTTGCTGAACAAGTTCTTGATCTTGTTCTATTTAATCCCTTTTTCCTCACATGTGCCCTGTAATCATTGCATTGAGTCTTTGGTATCTTTACCTTTTCAGCAAGTTTTTCAATTATCAATATAAAACATCAAAATAGACTTGCTTTATACTGTATTGGAAGGGGGTTGTGCTCAAGTGAGATGCTGGTTTTTGTCCTGCTTCTGTGCACTTGAACTGGTTGCTTATTGTAATAGAGACCATTACTTTGTTTCTCCACAATAAATTCCCTTTTAAAGTAAATAAGGATTTTGGTTTCAGTATATCCTTTATTAGGTTGACATTGTTCTGTGTATGCATACAATATACCCATGTATTACCTTTTACTTATTATATTTTTAACCTTGATTTTTTTCTGTTATTTGTTGCTGAAGGCTATCAGTACCATAAATCACTTCTTTCTGAAGATTTTATGTGAACTTCAGCATATTGAAACAAGGTTATTAGATGAAACTTGCTTTAGATTCACAAACTAGATAGTAAACTAAATGTCCTGATGCCATATTTTCTGCTGTGCAAACGATTAATTGCAGTGCTTTTATTTATAAGGGAACAGGAAGTTCTCATCCACAATTTTACTCTGACTTCCTTAGCTGGTTGTTATAATGGCAGCTGAAAGACAATAGTCACATGTATGGTAGATGAAGGGCTTGCTGCTGTATTTGAATTTGTTGACATTGTCTAACAGATGCTTTTAAGCTCAGTGAGGAAGGGAAATTTTCTTGTTTCAAAGAGGCAAGTGAATGATGTAACATTTTTCTTGTCATGTCGGTGCATTTTTTTTCCACAAAGTACTATCCAAATAGAATAAAAGACTTCTGCTCTCTTAGAGTTTACAGATAAAATAGATGTGATGCCATGAAATCAGTGGGGGGTTGTTTTTAAAGCTATGTAAGGCTTCTGCTGTTTCTTTCCATTAGTGACATCTGATGGATAAAATCAGCCAGCCTTCCTGTTCTGAGGATGCTTGACAGTTGGACCTGTTGAGCTTGTGAAACTCCGTAGTGTTCATTAAACATAAAGGGGGGGAAGAAAAAACCAAATGTTGGAAACTGCCTGACAGATGTTCAGAAGCTTCAGCTGTGAGAAGCATATGAGGTTTTATAGCTTGGAATGATTGAAACATACCATAAGCATGTGGCTATTTGAAGCATGCTGATGCCTTGTGGATTTTTTGTCCTCTATTAATATTTAGTAAGTAAATTTTTTTTGTTTTGGCTTTTTTTAAGTGTTGCATAAGGTTTAGCTTTCTCTGCTAGTTCTTGGTTGATCATAACTAACAAAAACTAAATAATTGACAAATAGTCAAATTTAAGCACTTTGAATAATGAAGGTGGAAAAATTATTTGCTCTTTAAAAAAATGCATTATGTAATTTACTAATGGAGAGTTTCAAGCTGGAGACTGATGTGTTGGAAGCTCATAAAAAGTAAAAGGCACTAAATCTAGAGCTCAGGTTACTGGACACAGTCTTCAGTGGGAGCACTGAAGGATCGATAGTGTAAGCAAAGTGTTGCTTTCAGCATAAAGATGTACATGCCAACATTATTCTGCCCACATAATAGAGAACGAGTTTGGCTATTGCTGTGTGTAGAAAAAGGAGGGGATAGAGAAGCTACAACAAAACCCACAAAAAAACCCAAACCCTACCTAGAGTCTTCAGTCATTATGCATACTGTTGTGTTACACAAAGGGAAGTAATTACATTGTGTTTACCGTGTCTGTAGTCCGACTAGTAGCTTAAAACTAGTTGCGTCAAACCTAAATTTTTTGGCTTGTTTTTTTTTTCCTGGTATGCTTCTACTTTGTATTTCAGTTGACAAGTGCGTGTATTCTGGTTCATGAGTTATGAAAGCATTTGAGTAAAGCTAATGTGAAGGAAACTTAACTAGGTCTAAGACAAGCAGATAGCAAATTAGCCAGAACCACTTCATCAAACTGCTTTAGCAGCAACAGTATCTTGCCTGCATGCATTAGAGGAAAACTGTACTTATTTTGTATTCTATTAAAAGAAACTGATCTTAAATTAGAGGAGATAGATATTTAATCTACTTTACAGTTGGTTTTTTAACTTCCTTTCTTCAGAGTGCAAATAACTATACTGGAGATTTCTGTCCTTGCTCTTCTATTAATTCCTGTTCATGAGGGAAGAGTTCTGAAGAAAAGATTCAGTGTGTTGTCTGCATTATCGCAGTGCTTGTATGAAAGACAGATGTCAATGACCCTCCCCAGCTAAAATATCTCTCAGTCTTTGCACCTGGTTTCCTTCATTCATTTTTCCTCATCTGGAGGATTTGAAAGTGAAGTACATTCAGCTGTAACTTCTCCAAAGCATTGGGGCATGTTCAGGAAGGCCCTCTGTGGTATCAGTGCTTGACTTAATAAATCTAAGCAGTTGGCACGAGGAGCTGTTTTTCATTACATTTCTAGCAGATGTTCTGTTCTTAGAATAGTCTTTTGTGTTAGTATAAGGTTTGGATCATTGATTATGTAGAGTATACTGCACATGTATATTCTGAGGGTAAACAGTTACTGGTATGGTGACTGGAATTCTTAATGTGTGTTCTTTCTGAACTGGATTTCTTTTGTCCTAAAGGATATAGGAAGGAATTAGTTTATGTGGTGATAAGATCCACAGTGATCTGTAATACAGACCACTGGGCAGGATTAAGATTACGTTCACGAGCCAGATATGTTAAACACTATACGTAAAAACCACCACAGCAATGAAAAACCTTATTCAAGCTTATCCAAGGTAATGCATGCACAGACAACACATCTGAGAACTGTTGCACAAAAAAGACCCTGTACTTGTCAGAAAATGTAGACTTTAGATACCTTTTTTCAAATGACCTGTTTGTCTTTGTGGTATACAGTTGTTCTTGGCGTATTTCCCTGCTGAGGGCAGTTGGACAAGATGATCTTTACAGGTCCCTTCCAACCTTAGTAATTTTGTGATTCTGTGATTTATCCTGTATATTCATGCAGCAGCTAATGAATAATGTTGTTAAAGTGCAGTGCAGAAGTCTGAGTACTTTTGAGTTTGACTTCAGTTCTTCCAATAATACAGTGTCAAATGAAGGCCAGTGACACGCAACTTGTCAACACTTTATGGCAGTTTTGTATTGGAAGTGAAGGACTAGCCAACTGCATGATGTAGGTAGAGAGAGGACAGTTGTTCAGAATTGTACCTAGGTTGCCTGTTGATTAGGTGTTGAGACTAGAATCTCTGTTCTTATGCACTCTGTATCTTTACTATCCATGAATGATATTTCAAAAAAAAAAAAACAACCAACCAACCCAAGCATCTCTTGTCAGAAATAGTGCTTTCCTAAAGCATAACTTTAAATATACTTTTTCTCACTGTGTAGTGTTATGGTCTCCCTTTTCTCTAAAGTTGGAGGTGGAATTGCCTGTACCTTTCCTTACAGCTAGTAATAACAGTACACTAAAAAGCCTATATTACTTTTACAATCTAAATATCACCTTTAAGCCTGAATTTAGTTACGAGAATCTGGTATTATTTAACAGGTTCTCTAATAAAGAAGCAGTAAAGAGTGTAGGATCGTGCTTCTTTTTGGATCAGCTTTTCAATACAATAGTTTAAGAACTGACTTGATTTTGGGCTACTTGTGGGGAGAAAAGAAAAACAACGAACTAACAAAAGAAAACCTTAGGAGAATGGATTTACTGCAACTTTTAATTCCATACTTGCATCTTGTTACAGTTTGTTATGAAACCTTGTATCATGAACTTGATGAGATGGGAACACCTGCCAAAGTTATTTTATCAGTCGAATGCTTTGGGGTTAGCTTGCAGGTATTTGTATAGCTTCCTGACACTTCCTAGCTGGAATAAACTAACTGCTTCAGCCCTTTGTATACTTCCCTTTGCTCAAATGCTGTTTGAAATTGATGCAGTTAAAATAAGAGACATTTATTCCTTGAGTTTACAGATCACTGTTTTGTGGTACTGTAGTACTTACAGGAATATTGAACATGAAGTTATGCCTTTGGAGCTAAAGCAGGATTATTTTTTTTTAAGGGATTATTAAAAACAAAATACTATGACATTTTTATTTTTTTTTAAACTTTAAGCACACACATGCTCATGGATGTGAGCTTTTCAGGGGTTGCAGATTTCATGAATGCTTACGTATTTTATGGAGAGAATTCTTTGGGAGTCATAAGATAGGTGAAATTATGAATCACTACAGAGTTACCAGTTTTAACATGAGAGCTATGAGTAGTTTTCTGTGAAGAGTAACACAAGTGAAGACATTTTGAAGTATGCTGAGCCACTATTCTGTATTTCTCCAAGAAAAGCACCATTGGGAAACAAAGAAAGTCACAAACTACCAGCTATGAATTTCTAGTGATTTTGATGATGACATTAAATACTACACATTCTGGTTTTCTAACAGCTGTGTTAAAGATACTGTATGAAGCTGTGGTTCTTCTAAGATTGTGACATGTCCCACACCCTTCCTTCCTTGTGTGCACAATAAAAATGATAGGTGTTGCTTGGACTCATTCCATCTCAAGGGCTTTTTTTGTTTTCTTGTTTTAAATATTTTTCCCCAACACGATGGTGTACATTCACTGTTATTTTTGATGCTGCTTGAACAGAAGCCTTGAAAGAGGAATTGCTAACTTGCCTTGGGTGAAAGAAGACTGAACGCCTTTGTTACTGAATCATATTCTTAAAAAACAGAGGAAAGAGATGAGTAAAGGGCCACCACTCCTCGTGATTGCTTCTTGTAAAAATATAGTCAAAGTCTTTTACCAGCAGTCCTTTAGTAGCACAAATTGTCTTGCTGTTGGGAAAGGGACAGGGGAAAGGGTGGGGTTTTTTTTTATTCCATTTAAAAGGAAATAAAAGAGTTATACAGATGAAGTAACATCTAGCTTTCCTCAGGGCTATGCTGCAGTGGTACTGTGCTGGGGGCCCTAGAAGTGCACATGGGACTGTCCTGTCTCTGCTAGAATCTCTCTTGAGATTTATAGGGAACTATCAGGTAATGCTAGGGCTACAAAAAGCCACCGAGTAGAAGAAAAAACATCTGCTGTTTCTGAACATACCTGAATCGAATGGGAGCTTTTGATTCTTCCAGAATGTTTTGCTCTTTTTCTATGTATAACTTTGTGATTGTTCAACATTTGTCTGGAAAAACTGAAAATACAGGGGTTACCATCTCTCTAAAGGATTGCTGCTAGTAACACTTAGTGTTCTGTGACACTTCATTGCAATGAATAAACATAACTTACTGTGGCCTAAAGTTGGGAACGTAACTTAATATTCATGTGTAAATTTAAAATAGAAACAGGTTGTATTCTTGGAAAAACGTACTTCTCTGTTAAGGTAAATCCTGAAATGAGACTGAAAATTACAAAGAAAGTTAACTTTCTTCAACCTACCTTTAACAGTCTGGTCTGTCTAAGAATCAAATATTTACCTTGAAGTTTGCAGCTGTTGCAGCAGTTACAGTACATTGCATGCTATCAAATATCCCAACTGAACAATACACTGCTATGTTCTGTGAGTTAGCTCTGGATTGACTACAGGACAAAAACTGATTCATTATGAGTCTTTAGGGAACTGGCTTAATTACCCTATATGCTTTTCTTAACCAAGGCCATGACACTGGGGGGGAACAATGGGTATTCTCCAACAGGGGCGAGTTTTTAGTTAGGATAAAACACCAGAGCATCAAAAGGAGAGGTAATGACTTTAACTTGCATTCCTGTTCAACAACTTATTCATGAAACTACCCTTGGGGGTTTGGGTTTTTTTTGGTGTCTTCCTTTTAATCAGTCCAATTTTGTTCTGTCAACTTGAGTTGAAATCAGAAGCTTCCTTGAGTGCTCAAAGTTTAGGGGCTCCGTAAGTGAAAATAGTTGAGCCCTCTCTGAAATTGAGAACAAAATGAACTGGGAAATTGAAAGCCCTAATGAAAAGACAAGAATTAAATTCACCACTGAATTTCAGGTCAGCATTCACATGCAGGTTTCTCATAGCTGCCTATGCAATTCTAATACTGTGTCTTGCTTGCATAAATAAAGAGTGTAATACCCTGATACTTAAGGGCAGTAATTGAATGCCTCTTAAGGACATACAACTCATATGCTAGTTCTTGTTCAGCGGATATCTTAGGACTGGAGGCTATGTGTGGTTTTGGTTTTTATTTTGTCTTACAAGAGTTCTGAACTGAGCCTGTTCACCTCGCAGTGGGGATGGGGGTTGACACACATGATGACATAGTGGCAAAACCCCAAACCAAGCAAACAGAGAAAGCCCACCAATCCCCCCTCCCAAACACATATCTGGAATTAAAATGAGTGAACAGTTCTCTAGCAGCAAAATTTAGTATCTGGTAGTTTTTCCTGGAAGATAATTAACTATATGATCCAGTTGGGTGGACCTTCAGTTGAAACTTCCCTGTTCCATGACCAATAACATTTTATTGTTCTCTGTGTATGTTGCTGTTGTCTGATGAAGTGTAGCCTCAATAATAGGGCATTTAGGTGACTGGGAAATAAAACCCAATACATCTGTATTCTTTCAAAAAAACTTTCAGTTCATTCTGTTGCAAAGTGATTTTTGTTGTCTTACACGTGGGAATCTGTTCTCTCTGCTGACTGCAAAAAATGAGGTGTAATCTAGTCGAATAGATATGCAAGATGAGGGAAGGTGTTAGGCTAACTGCTGTTGGTCTTCCCAGGTTTATATTTTGGGGGCATACTTTCTGTTGAAAATAACATGAAAAAATAAAACATTAGAACAAAAAGAAGTGAAAAGGACATGAGCGTATTGGGATAAAACCAATTGCCTAATGGAGATTGAAAAATAAAAGAATGTAGCTAATAATCTGAAATGTTTTTCCTTTTTTGAACATAACTTCTGAGCTAATTTCTTGCAAGGAGAAGTCTACTTACATGAAACAAAATACTGGGTGTTTGAGTAATGTATGTGAATACATTCTTACTATGAACAAGTTGTAATTCTGTGTGCTTCTGTAAGCTATTATAATGGCTTATATATTGAAATGGAAGTACAGAAATATGTATCAATGAAAAGTATAGAAAACTGAGACTTTTCCTAACTTATTACGAATTTTGTAATAAGAAAAATAATTTTTCAGACACAGGCTTCATGTCCTGTTGATCGCAGACCGTTTCAGGCAGTATGCAGGCTCGATGCATTAGAAGAGCAGATAAAGGTAAGTTCCAGACATACTTTCTTAAGAAACTTCAGTAGTAGAGAAAAGTTATGCCACAACCTTTTATTCATATGTCTGTGTTGAATAAGCTTTTCTAGTGAAATAATTATTGCTTTAATGTTTCTGTTACATATTTGAAGCTGGGAATTATTCTTAATTGTATTTTTTTCAAAGTAAGTTTTTACAGTAATAATAATCACAAAGCTGCTATTGATACTTTATAGCGTCTGTGAGTGTTCCTGATGTGTCTAAGAATGGAAGTATAGTAATTGGTCTCAGCGTGTTTTTAACTAGATTTTGTAAACAAGTGCTATATCAAGTAGCACACGCTCTTGTGTTTTTTTTTTTCTGAGGTGAAAGTTTTATGTTCACAGCCTTCAGTTCCCAGACAAAAACACATTAAGGCAAGAGGAATCAATTAGTGCTAAACCTCGCTCAACCTAAATTTCTGTTTGTTTTTTTTTTTTTCCAGCTGAAATTCTTAATAATACTGCTGCTGCTTTGGGGATAAGTTTCTCAAGTAGGAAAATAAAACGTTCTTCTGATAAATGATCTTGAAAATGTATATATAGAATGATGCTGAGAATTCTGTGAACAGTTTTGAAATTCTGTGGTGAAATTATGGCTATCAGAAAATTCTAAGGTGGTGTTTTTGCATTTTGAAAATAAAAAATTTTGGAAAGGTTTAGAAAATAGGCTCCTACTGCCCATTTCTTGTGCTTCTAGAGGCTCAGGTGATCAACTGCAGAAGAAGCATCCTCACATCCTCACAGCCACAGATAACTTCCTTCTCATAGAAAACCACACTGGTGTATTTTATCTTCTTTATTTCTAAAGAAACAAGCAGCTGGAACAAGTTAAACTGGAGCTTTCATTTGGAAGTTTTCAAGTGGAAGAGCGTAAAGGCTGTATCAAAATACAGTTTGAAAGGTTCTTTATTTGTAGAACTGCAGTGTAAACAGGTGAGCACAGAATAAGGGTCCTGCTCTGAAAAAGAGCCACTGGAGCATAGGGGTAGATGGAATTTGTACACAGAAATGCTGACACAGTAGTCAATATTAGCTGTGGCACAATCAGGACATTGGCAGTTTTCCCTTTGTGACAGTCATAACTACAATGCTAATAGCTTAAGGAGTTGCATATAAAGCCAGGATTCTAGAATGAGGAAGTACAGAATATCTAATGCTAACAATTGCAGTGTAGCCATTGAAGTATACTTTATAATATGCAATAAAAAGTTTTACATCTGTCTTAGAATTTTGAAGATGGGGAGCAGGGGTTGAAATGTGATGTAAAATCCATAATTTGTTATACTCCAGAGGAAAATCAAGTGCATTTTAATTATGAGGAAGTATTTGAAATTGGTAGTTCAGCATTTTCCCAAGCTGAACCTTATGTATTCAGATCAACCAACTTAGTTTAAAAAAAATCCTGAGCTTCCAAATTCTTGGTGGAAGATAGTTCATAGCTTTGAGCTACTTGCCATGGCAGTCTGAACGTTCAGGGATTTTTGGTCTTGTGGAATTCGTATGCATCTCTGGCATAGCCAGTGTACATCTTGAGGTGGGATTTTTTCCTATTTCATGAAAAACAAATGAAAAAAAAAATCAAGTCTGCAAACTGAGATTAAAAAAGTAGTAATTTGAAATGTCTTCAAGTTCCTGTGTTTGAGCTCGTTTTCTCTGTAGATCTTAACCATCTTTGAATAAATTTAAAGCCCATGTGTATTGAGATGCTAGATTGGATTGATTTTATTTTTCAATACAGGTTCAGGTTAAAAAGCAACTAAGGAGAAAGGAAGAAGACAAACACTGTGCCTGCAATAAGGGAAAATATAGCCATGCTAAGAGAAGAAACTTTGTGAGGTTGGTCATCCTTGTAGTTTCAAGCATTCTAGTTGGTATATTCAAAATATATAAAGTCAACTGGTTTAAGGTATACACCCCAGAAAAATTCTAGAAAAAATAGTTTATTTTAAAATAAACTATTTTGCATCAGTGGTACTTTAGCTTTACTTTTTTCACTGATGTAATTCCCACTTGAATACTTACAATAGCAAACAAGAAATAAGGAGCAGTGTGTTTCATGCACTGAGTTCTGTAAAAGTTGCATTTTTGAAGACATTCTGACAGGCTTTTTTATTAATTAGGATTTTATGGCTAGATCATATTTTCACAATAGAAATCTTTCTCTTTGGTTATCTAAACAGACATCCCCTTTCTTGTATGTTATCATAAGCATTTGTGGCGTTCTTGTTTTACTATAAAACATACTTGTAGTCAAGAACTGATTTTATTCTAGTGAGATTGAGAGGGGATGTGGAAGTAACATTCCTGTTCTGAGAAGCTTTATCTTGTCATTTGCTGCATTGTATAGAGGGAAGCTCAGGATTACACAGACAAATTTCACTAACTAGTGATAATCTAAAGCTAGGGTTTCATGAGATGTATGATATATAGAGTTCTTGAGATTACATTTGAAGCAGACCACTACAGAAAAGATAATGGGAAGTAAATTACCATTTTAGGGGTCTTGTTAGAATATAAATAAGGTTGATCTTTGCCTCTTACTGTTCTGAACCACCACTGACTTTGATATTCTCAAAAGTATTTATGAAAGCAGGTTATAGCGTCTTTCACATGTGAAATCAAGCAAAATTAGTCATTCAGATTTAATATGCAGGATATCAACTTTTAACATGTAAATGGATTTTCTTTTTTTTACCTCTGTAAGCTTTTTGAAGTGCTGTGGGGTTTAATATATGGAAGGTGATATACATGATGCAAGTTCAGGTTTGAATAGCAGGCAAAACTTGCACTTAAAGAGCACGAAATGAAACTTCCTTAAAATAGGAGCTGATTTTGTTTGGATGCATACACTGTTAACTCAACTATGCCCAGAAATAACTCTTGTAATATTTTTTGTTAATCTTGCAGAAGAGCTGTATGTCCAGACAGAGGGCACTTAGCAGCAAGATTAAGCAAAGTTGTGAAGAAAAAATACAGTAAGTTGGTATTTGCTCGAATATGCTAGATTTTGGTAGGGAACACTAGAATTTCTTTCCTGATGAGCCAATTTATTATTTTATTTTGATTAGTATTGCTTACATTTGGACATGAAAATCAAATACTAAGGAATAGAAGCATGAGCTTTAGAGAACAAAATTGCAGTATGTGAAACTAGTGTTGTTAGTTTACTTGAAAGACTGCCTCTTCAATTTCAGTTGCGAGTGAAATGGACATAGTTTAAGGCTAGTATCATTTTCTGCACAGCTCATGACTGGCTTTTATTCACGGGAAGCTTTTTCTGTGAGATTTCAGACACAAGAAAGCACTTAGCTGTATTTTGGGGTTGCTGTTTAGAGAGGCTTTTTAATAGATATTGTTGGGCAAGTGTGTTTGTAACTTCTGAAATTAAGCAAGTATCTGAGGTGAAAAGGGCTCGATATATAAGAAGCAATTGTGAAGGTGTATGCCTTTTTAATTTTACTGAGTTTATATGTAAGTACATTATGAATACGCTCGAGATACATTTTCATTAACCTCTCATTGCACTTACGATATTGATAATTAAAAACTAATGCTGAATTTAAGATTGGAGTTTTGTTTCTTATTGCACACAGGTAATATTTTGTATGACAAACGAAACAAGAAAGCTTTGTCAGTGAAGATAAACAAGGTTAGTTCTAATAATGAAACATCTGGGAACTTTTTTTCATGAAAGCATTTATAAAGCTACTTTCTGTTTATTTTTAAGATTAACTTCTATTTGTTGATTTTAGTATGATTCAAACTATGGGGGTTTTGTCTTGAAGGTGTTAATTAGAATATAATGCCAGGTGATACGAGCTTCTCAGACTAAACAGCTTTGTGGCGGTAAATACTTTCATTTGGATTAGGCTGTTACATTATAAAACACTGTAACTACCCTTTTTTCACTTTCTTCACCAGAAGAAGATGGTGTCAGCTACAAGATGCTAACCAAGTACCATGATATGAAGGTTTTCATTATTCCCATGAAAATACGTAGGTCTAATCAACCAAGTAATAAGCAAGGGATGTTTGCCATGGTCTTTTCGGTAGCTGGTGGCCTGAGTTGTCACTTTATTTGGTGCTTATACACCGTAGTTCTCAGAGGTATCTTAAGCTCCAGCCTTCCCCCTTCTAAATCAGCTATTTAGAAATTTTGTTTCTTTTACCATTAAAGGTACATTCCATTTAATTGAAGAGGTTTTGAACTGGAAGGATAGGGCTTAATGGTAGATCACTGTCTAATTTGTCTCCAGGACTGGTAAATGCTTTCCTATCTGGCTTCACTGATTTACTGTGCACTGTTAAATAGCATTAATGTCTCAAATGGTACCTGTTGCAAAAAAGGTGCATAAGCAAAAGCAGAACCATTAAAAACCTTCATGAGGAGGTACAGGGCTGAATTATCCAGTGAACTGTCAAAATTTAAAATAAAAGGAAGCACTGATTTACAAAACTTCACCTCTTAAGGATATTTGTGGAACATTTGGATAGCTTTTTTAGATGGAGGGAGAAATGTTAATGTTCACAATAATAGTATTTTTAAAATAAAACTTAACAACAGCTTTTTAGGAGAAGCTTAGTATTTGCACACTGTTGCAACAGGGTGTGTTCCCATCAAAACCAGCTGCCTGTGCCAAAGTTTGATGGAGCATATGGGTAATGACTGCATATTTGGACAAGTATTTATATACAGGAATGTTTAGTCAGATTCAAGGTGGAATTAACCCATTAGGTGAAAGGGTATAAATGGGTCAGTGCAGGTAAGTGTGTCAGTCTGGTAGTCTAGAAAAAGTGTCTAGAGGGTTGTTGTTTGGGGTTTTTTTGGCCCTGCAGCCAGCCCAGCACACAGCAGCAGAGTCTGCTGCCCACAAGGCAAAAGGAGTTAGGCTAACATTCAGTGGGTGGCTAGGTGTTGTTAACAATTGCAATAGAAGGTGGTATTTGTACAAATATGAAGTGGATTCTGAGTATTATGCCTTTGCGTGAGGACCCAGTAAACAGACACACCAGTCAATCTTCTTTCTGTAATCCTACCTGAAGGCACAGGAGAATCCCAGCTACTTGCATTTAGGTTTTCTTGTTACTCTGAAACCAAACATTCACTGAACTGCTGCAAAGGGCTCTGTCTGGAGGTACTAGTGCTGTAACTCCTGGTTCTTTAGGTAACAGAAGCAGAAATTGTGAAATAGTAAGGATTAGGCTCATTTATTCATCATTTCTGTATGGACCATTAAAGATTTTGCCTATGCAAAATACAAAGTTCATCTGCAAAGAGCAGGTGTTGAAAATTTGGAGACTAAATGGAGATTTGTTTGTGTAACTGCAGATCTCTGCATATAACTATGAAGCTACTATGTGCCTGCTTTTTGTGAGTTAGTCTTGCTGATGTGGTGTAAATTCAGTGCATCTTAATGTATTATATGTTAATTATTTTATTCTGGAAATCTTTAAATCGTGATGTTTCTTTTGTAGCCCAGAAGACAGACCTGCTGGAATGACTGCTTCAGAACTAATTTCTTGAGCACACTTCCAGCTGGTGGTAGCAATGAAGAGTCCTCTTTTAGCTGTAGAAATGACTGGTTAGTATATACTAGTGCTTAAGAGAAACTGATTGGTTACTGTATTGCAGGTGCTATAGTTCCTTCTGCTTCTGTCTGTATATACTAGCTTGAAATATTTTGAAGATTGTATTTATTAAAGGAGAAACACAAACCTGTTAAAATTAGTATTGTTGCAGGCATTGTTACCTCTATTTCTGTCTTGTGCTCAGTATTAAAATACATGAGTGTGCATGCTTTTAATCTCACTGATTTAATAGGAGTTAATAAGTTTTATTTTTAGCTCATATTTATTCTCTTTGCTGAATTGAAGCCTTGGGTAAGAAACGGTTAGTCACTTTATTCCGGCAGCAGTTAGCAAAGCACTTAACAGTAAATACCCTGGTTTGTATCAGAAAGAATCTGGTTGATTGTTCCTTGATTCTAAGAGGAATACCTTAAACATACATGAAGCAGTTTTGCTTAATGAGCCTAATACATAAGAACTGGTAAAAAATATTTCTTGGTTGATAAGATGGAAGAAAAAGAACAGTCTGGAAGAACATTTATTTGAATAATATGGCCTAATAAAAAAAAACACTGTGTATATGTTTTCAGCAGTCTGTAAAAGAAAAATTGCCATGTGTGCAGCAGTATTACTTTGTCAAGGATGCAAAGTTCCTCCCATCTTTCAACTCCCCATAGGCACGTCTCCTGTTTTCTGTTCTGTCTGCCTCATTTATGTAGAGCTGTTCCATTTACTATGACTGCTCTAAAAAATAACCATGCATAGTTTCATCGTGACTGTTAAAGTTCTAATATAGTTAATATTTTTTAAAGGTCATTGATAGAAGTAGTCTTTGAAAATTATGGTGATACGGAGTTACCATTTGTAACTTTTTGTATGAATTTTGTATTTCAGTACAGAATTGACAGAAGTTGATGCAGCAATCAGGCAGAAGAGACAAGCACTGGAATTGTCCTGTTCATCTGCGATTGCTAGAGTTGAAAGGTATGTGTTTTGCATTCATAGTGCAAAGGCTCTTAATGTAAGACTTCAAGTTTGGAATTTGATGAATTCAGATTACTGTTTAGATAATCATTTGATCATAAAAGTAAATAGTGTTTGCATGTAACCTGTTAAATTTTTGTGTATATGTCACATGCTATTTTTATGTCAGCAGATTATTTTCTGTATACCTTAATGCTTTTCTGATACTTACGACAAGCATAGTAACTCCAGTGATTGTGCATCTTAATATGCACAAATGCGCTTTTTAATATGTTTTGTATTTGGAAGTTAGTGTTCCATGTGCTGTTTGAATTATTACTATCACTAGAAATCAGAATGTTTGCTTTAACATGAGTCAAATTCTGATTTTTCCACCCACTTCCAATACTCCTTTCTCGTGCATTGGTTCTGACTTCTTTCTGTAACTGTTTATAAACAAATGCATTTAGAAGGAGATAGGAGGGGTTCTATCAAGTGAAACATAGAACATAAAGTAATTTCTTTCGTCAAAGAGCAGATGAATGTTAAAATACCCTAAGGGTATTTTCATGAATATAAAACAGAAGCATAAAACCCTCCTGATTTTAAAATAACATGGTAATAAATTGGTCTATTGGTCAATTTCACTACATATCTCTTTACTTTCTTTGGCATAAAACAAAGGCTAAAGACAGAAGAGCAAGTAAAGACATTTTTAATTGTAAGTTGGAAGTAGGATTCAAATACTAATTTTTTTTACACATACTTTTCCTTATGGGAAGTTTCATTCCAACTTGGTGATAACTGAAAAATTGTAGATGGGTAACTAAACTCTTGAGTGCACAAGGTTTGCTGAGGGAGTCTAAATAAGTATGTATTTGTTTGGTTTGGTTGGGGAAAAAGAGAAGCCACCTTTACTAAATTGTCATGTTAGATTTTGATGCACGAAAAAAGGCTGTTCTTCTGCTAAAGTGCTAAGTCAGTGTTCTATTTTCAGTAGTAGAGCCTACTAATTTGGAGGAGACTGTTCTATGTTTGGCTTTGAAGAAAGCCAAGTGTGTATTACTTTAACATAACATAACTTGTTCAAACTGTTTTACTAGGTTAGGCAATAACATAAACGTGAAATTAAATATGAGAAGGGAAGTTTTGTTTGCTGTCAGCTTTGCCTTTCTCTCCAGCTGTGGTGAGGCTGGAAGTGTCATAGTTGCCGAATGCTTTGGTTTTGTGCATTGTTTCCAAACCTTGCTACAAACCGCTAAAACAACTCATGCTAATGCTCTTACTTTTGCAGAATTCCTTTAATGTCTTACGGAGCTGAAGCCGAGACCTTTCTTCTCACTTCTACTACAGTGGCAGGGACAATTCTTCCAACGAATGTCAGGCCTTTGGAAAACTTTGGTAAACTTTTTTTTTGTAAGTTTTATTTATAGCTCATGTGGAATACTGTTAAATTAGATCCTTAGAAAGTAAAGTGGAATATACAGTTACAGTTAACGGGGGGGGGAAATGTTTTGGTGCTTTTTGGTGCTATTTCAACATCATCTGGTAGGTTTCTGAAATTAGAATATAGAAGATGAAGCAGCCACCCCAAAACGTACTTAAGTTTTCTTCCTTTGAAGATGAAAATAAGTATTGTATGTGACTTAATTCCATTTCTAAATTGAACACTTTCCTTATTGTTACAACTTCTTTTCTTACTGCTCAAGGATAAATCTTATTTTGCTATATTATGAATGGCTTGATATATTTCAGCGGTATATTGTGCAGTGTGAAGACCAAGTTTTTTCCTGACAGAAGAGTAGCGAGGGAACAGTGCAGTGTATGGATCTGTTTCAGTATGCCTACAAGCTCTACAGGGCAAAAGCTTGCAAAAGTGCTTGAGTTCCAGGATCTGGCAGGAATATAGCAGAAGACCTTCTTCCAGTTACTTTAACAGCCTCTTTCTCCATAGTCAGCAAGAATTTAGTTTCTCTTCCAATAGGCTGCACAAGTTCAAAGTGAAAACAAAAGAATGATGGGTTTTAAGGCTAGGGTTAACACCTTCTCTGAACTGGGAATTACACTATTTTCACTTGACTAGTAGGCAAAGAGAGAGGGGAGATCTGGGTCTCATGGCTTACAAAAATTGAGGACGTGAATGTCTGGGAAGAGTTTAGTAGAAAGATTGTGGAAAAAGATGTTTTACTCATTCTTCATTCTTTTTAAAGGTACATATTTCACCTCCGCACTGACCAGTGAAAAATGTATAGGATGCTCCCTAGGGACTCTGATGCTTGGCAATGCAATTTAACTATTTCAGCTTCTAGTACTAATGAGTATACATGCTAGCTCCTATCTCTTGACTTCTAATCACATTTCTACTTACACAGTCAGGCTTCTTTGTTAGTATGCACCAGAAGCATTTTAAAAACAACAAAACCAACCACCAACCCCAAAACCACTTTCTTCTCTCATCAGAAAGATAAAGAATATTTAAATAAGCTACAGATTATTTTTCAACATTAGGATGTTTAGAATATGTGAATAAATAGCCTAATGTTGTGTGTGTGCTCACAGCCGAGAAACCAACCATATACTGGGCTGCTTCAAAAGAAGTGTGACCGTCAGGTTGAAGGAGGTGATCCTGTCCCTCCACTCTCGTGAGACCCCACTTGGAGTACTGTGTTTAGGTGTGGTTTCCTTCCAGAGGAGGGCCATGAGGATGATCAGGGGACTGGAGCACCTCCTGTATGAAGACAGGCTGAGGAAGTTGGGGCTGTTCAGCCTGGAGAAGAGAAGGCTGCGTGGAGACCTCATAGCAGCCTTCCAGTATCTGAAGGGGCCCTACAAGGTTGCCAGAGAGGGTCTGTTCTTCAGGGACTGTAGTGATAGGACAAGGGGTAATGGGTTTAAACTTAAGCAGTAGAGATTTAGGTTGAATGTAAGGAAGAAGTTATTCTGAGGGTGGTGAGGCAGTGGAACAGGGTGCCTGAGGAAGTTGTGAATGCTCCATCCCTGGCATTGTTCAAGGCCGGGTTGGAGAGGGTCTTGGGCAACATGGTTTAGTGTGAGGTGTCCGTGCCTATGGCAGGGGGGTTGGAACTAGGTGATCCTAAGGTGCTTTGCAACCCAAACCATTCTGTGATTCTGTGAATTGTTGATAATATCAGCAGCTAATTTATAAATGCTCATAACGTTGTCAACTCCTAAGGCAGAACACGGAACTAAATCCTTTATGCTGGTTTTGGGGAGAAGTGGCAGATTCTGACTTTGAGTCTTGATAAGGGAAGAGAAGGAAATTGTTTTTTTTTTTCCCTCCAGATATTTTTGTCTTACAACTCAGAGTGTTGCCTCCAGAGTTGTGCTAAGGGTCATAGAAGTATCAGTGATGTATAACTACTGCCTGAATCTTCCCTGCAGCTGCAGGCGTTTTTAGATTCTCTGACCACTAAATAGTCTTTTTACTAATTTGACCTGAAAATGCTTCGGTGAATCTACAAATACCATAATGGTTTAGGTTGGCATTAGGCAATTCTTTTGCGTGATTAAAATATTTTTAAATAAAGATTCAGTGGGCTGAAATCCCTTGTATTTGGTCCAAATCCAAAGCTGGTGAAGCTTGTCAGTTAAAATTTACAAGTAGTAAGGAATGCTAGAAAGGGGGCTGTGTTTCACAAGTAGACTTTGAAAGTGCCACAGAAATAACTTGTCTTTTAATTCTGCCAGGATTCCCACATTCCATGTGTATTCTGGTGGTGCCACTGGTGGTGGTTGTTATTAGAGGGTGATTCTTTCCCCGTGAAGAAGATAACCACAGATACTAAATACTTGTTACAACATGTAACATCTGACATGCTTTCCTGGCTGTTATAGTAGGTGTGAAGACGGAGAGACAGCCCCCATGTGGTGGAGTAACTGCTGGTTAACCACCGTGGAGTCCCTTTCTAACAAAAGTACTGGGCAAACTGTTACAGTAGATACCTCAAATAGTGTGAGTCACCTAAAACTCCTTTGGAAGTTCTTTACAACACACATTGTTTGGTTTTTAAGTACCTAGTACCTTCTATACAGTGGATACTGTTGGGTTTCATTATCTGGAGTGGTAATTTGATCATTTTTGATCAGACATCCAAAACTGTATTTTTTCATGTGCAGGCAAATTATGATGTTTACAAGGGAGGTCAGAGGAGGCGATTATAATCCTGTGCTCTGTTCTAGCCTTTTAAAGGCTAGCTAGGTGCTTGTGAAGTTAATTCTCTAACGTTATCAGGTTACATGTTTGGATATAATTGGCAGTGATATATTTTTTCATTCTGCTAACAAAGTAATAAGGCAGTGGAAAGAGACTTTTGTGTTGTTACTCACTTGTCTTATTCCTATCTTATTTTTATATAATCTATTTAAGAATACATTAAAGAAGTATATGTGAAACAATAATGTTATACAGAGAATTAGAGTCAAGTGTTTTAGTGTGATGTGATAAATTTATTGCAAAAATCCATAGCAGTTAATCTTAGCAAGTTTCCACTATTTGTGCATGAAATGGAAGCTGTAAAAAGAATTAATTTAAACACCAAATTCTTGATGCTTTCTGAGATCTACATATAGTGTGAAACAAAGTAACGGGCATCTCAAGAAATTTGGTTCTGAAGTGTTACATTCAAGTATATTTTCTTAATTATCATTAGTCTTTAATTCCTTAGCTGTTCCTCATTAAATTCCTTTCTCAGGTATCAAGAGTACAGTCTGTTCCCTTTGGAGTGAATATAACCCTTGGCTTCCCTACAAAGATTTTTGTCCAATTGTGGGTAGTGTGAAATAAATTAATGCAGTATCAACAGAAGAACTCTTTTGCTGCTATATGTGACTTACAGTTATTCTTCTTATAGCTTTAGTTTTGGGGTTAAACTCCTAGCCCACCCCGAGACTTGCACTCTTGATTCAGTTTGTTAGGTGCCTTGTTGGAAGCTTTAAGTGCAGTTTGCTGTGGAGCGTGCAAGGTCTGTCTTATTACTGGTGAAAGAGTTTGCACTGTCCAACATTTGATTTTGTAGAGAGATACGCTGTCGTTGCTGCTTCCCACGTGGTCATCCACTGATGGCCATTTAACAGTATCACTGGCTGTGGTACTGAGGCTTCACTGCCAACAGGTCTAGATTATAGAATGCCAGGAACTGCTATGTGCTGTGGCAGCGTTTCATACTGAATCTTAAATAGTATTAATTGAGGATATCTGTCGAACCAGTTATGTTTTTAACTGTTTGGATAAATGGTTATTACCAAACTTTAATGACTTCTGCTTTTATTAGAATCCTTAGGTAAAGGATATGCTGTTGCATGTACCCAAGAAGGAGAAGAGAAAAAGCAAGCTTCTGGTTCATCTGGTGCTAGAGGAACTAGAAGGAAATCGGTTACTACTACTCCTAGAAGAAGGTCTGCACGAAACAGCAAAAATGAGACTCTGGGTCCATCTCGGAGCTCTCCTCGGTCAAGCAGTTCTGCGTGCAGTGCCCCTGATGGCACCAACCCATCTCTGAATAAATCTCCTTCAGAACCAGAGAAGGCTCCTCCAAAACGGAAGTCTAAACGAACAGTTAAACAACAAACACCAGTGGCTAAAAAGAAACTGAGGAGTTCTGCACGTTCTGAAAAGTCACCCAGTGCTTCAGTGGAAGATGATGATGTTGCTGAGCCTGAAGCAGTTGTGACATTAGATAAAGACCAACAGTCAGATAATGAAAATACAAGCCTTCCACAGAAGGATAACACAGAAACAGAACCTGCTAATGGATTGGAAAGCTGTAGTGAACATGCAGAAACTGAGGAAACTACAGGAGAATATGACAAAGATGAGAATACTTCAGACAGTGTGGATGCAAGTAGTTCTAATGTGCAAGAACCTCCTCCAGTGCTAACTTCAGGAGGTGAAAATCGGGAAATCAAAGTAGAAGGTGCTACTGAAAAAAATGCGGATCTTAAGGATCAGGAGATCTGTGAAGATACTCTTGAACAAATGGAAACAGTAGCTAGTCCCAAAGATGAAGTGTGTGATCATGCAACTGTTGAAGAAGTAGATCAGACATTGTCTACTCCTCAGAACGAATTAATGGAGAATATAGAAACCTTGGCAGAAGTAGATCAACCCATAGCTAGTCCAGAAAATGAATTGTTGGAATTTCCAGAACCTTCAGGAAAAGATCAGCCATTAGAGAGCCCCAGAAGCAAATTGCCTGAATGCCCGGAAGCCATAGAAATAGATGATTCCAAGGCTGAAGAAAAAACAGTAGTAGACTGTACAAGTACAGATACTGAAAACTTAGAAACTGTTCAAGATGAAGAACCAGATATATTAACACACAATGTTTCTGTGGACAGTACATCAGAACAGTGCTTAAAAGAGAGCACTGTGAAAGAAAGTGAAGAAGGTAGAACTTCAGAGACACCACAGGTAAATGTTGAACATAAACATTTTGGTGAAGATAACAATGAAATGATACCGATGGATTGTGATTCATTTTGCAGTGACCAGAATGAAGCTCAGGTTGAACAGTTACCACCAGTTGAAAGTACAGAGCAAGACAAAGTAAACTCCTTACAGTGTGATGTGGAAAACTGTACATCAGTTTCAGGACTTTCTGGTGAAAAAGATGAAACTGTTCCTCAAGAGAGAGAGTGCCAGTCTGAACTCAAGAAAGATAAAAAGGCTCGAACCAGAAGATCTAGGTTTCACTCTCCATCAACAACTTGGTCTCCTTCTATGAGGGAGGGCAGGAAATCTCAGTCACCATCCCCTAAAAGGGAGATGACCAGAGACAGGAGCTCACGATCACCCAAGAAGGAAGCTGGGAGGGAGGGAAGGAGATCCTTATCTCATTCTCCAAAGAGAGAGACACTCAAAGATGAGAAAAAAACACCATCTCGATCTCCCAAAAGGGAAACTGTCAGGGAAAGCAGGAGATCATCTTCTCGGTCAAGAGCTAAGGATTTGTCTCCAAGGCAAAAATCTAGATCTCGAAGCAGTGATAGAGACAGTCAGAGAAGAGATCGTGACAGAGACAGAAGAAATAGGAGGTGGTCTAGGTCACGGTCACGATCTCGGTCGAGGTCCAGATCTAGGACGAGAAATAAAGGCTCTTCATTCTCTAGAAATGAGAGGGACAGTCATTCACCTCGATGGAAGGACAGATGGACAAATGACAGCTGGAGGAGTCCCAGGGGAAATGATCGATACAGAAGAAGTGATCAAGAGAAACAGAATGAAAGTCTTAAAAAAGAGAAGGACAGTACAGAAAAAAACAGTGATGATCAGTGTTCTTCAGACAATAGGAGGAATGATTGTCCAGACTGGGTAATGGAAAGGATAAACTCTGTTCCTGAAGTCAGGAACAGAGAGAGAGAGAAACCACATTGGGAAGATAGCAGGCATGACAATTCAGGACACTCTTGGAATAAAAACTATGGTTCAGGTTGGATTCAAACTCGAGGGAGGGGTCACCGTGGCCGCGGTGGGCGTGGAAGAGGTGGTTTCATGTATGGAGACCAGAGTGAAAATCACTGGCAAAATAGAAAACCTGTCTCAGGGAACTCAAATGGTTCTGGGAATGAAACCTCAAGGTTCTCAGAACACCAGCCCTACAAGCGCAAGAATGAACAAGATTACTCTTTCGATACACCTGCTGACAGATCTGGGTGGACATCTGCATCCAGCTGGGCTGTAAGAAAGACTTTACCTGCTGATGTGCAGAATTACTATTCAAGAAGGGGACGCAACTCATCAAGCCCACAGTCTGGATGGGGCATGAGACAAGAAGAGGAGGTGCCTGAACAAGGTATTCACAGTTTTGAAATGTAAGAGTTTAGTCACAGCTGTAGTAGCTGAGTAAAATCCAAGCCATGCTCTATCTCAAGATGATTGGTTCTTAAAAATAATGTGGGGTGAATCCATAGTCTTTTTGCAATGTGGAGGGGTTTAGGTATGGGATTTTGGGTTTTCTGGTGTTCTGATGGCTTTTTGGTTTCACTTAAAATTTCAGGTTTAAAGACTATGCATCTGAAGAGTGCTGCTCAACTAAATCAATTTGGCTGAAGAGAAATCATATTCTCTTCAAAGTTACTTTTAGCAGCTGCATGCCTTTTAAAAAGGGTGATTTTTTTTGTCAAGGAGACTTGCATTTGCCTTCACAGACCCACGTGGTATAGTCTAGCGACGACAAATCTCTATGTTGATATTTATCTTGCTTCAATGTAAGCATTTCTTCTTTAAATGCTTTAAAAAATAATGTAAGGAGATTTATAAATGCAAAACCAATACTTTTACTGTGCTTCAGAGTTAGAATTCCTCTAAAGATTCAATAGAAATCTCGTATTTTGAAGTATTTTATATCTAAAAGGTGACTGCTCTGGTGGAAATAAGCTTTTCTTGTAGTGAGTTAACTGTGGAGGAGATTAATTCTGAATAGCTAAGAATTCATCCACAGATTATGAATGCCCTGAAGTATTAAAAGTATTTTAAAACATGTGAATTGTATTTAAAAATGATAAAATCCAGTTCAGAAGGCAACCACGCTTGCGCTTTCCCATTGTCTCCTTGGTTTGTCTTTCATTTTTATCCATTTTCATCCTATATGCCAGCAGCTTTCTTCCTGTTTCAAAGACAACTGCATTGGTGGCTTCTTAGTTTTGGGGCAACTTTGTCAACCTTCAGCCTGCTGCAGGCAAAATTTATTCAACTTTTAATTGAAAGCATGGTGCAATTTATAGCCTTTCGATCATGTAGTTCAGGAGCAGTCACACTGGTACGTTCACTTCCAACCTCAGTGGTTCTGTTAGCCCGTGATCTTTAAAAAAGGTGATTTGGGATGAAGCAGAAGGGTTTAAATCCCATTCCCTGTGAATTAGGTGGCAGTGGGTTCCTCAAGGAAGAGATCCTGAGGGAAGAACATGTGAATTATAATCCATCAGCTGTTTCTTAGAACTAATTTCTTGCTGCTAAATGTTAACTTTCTGGCTCCTGTTGAAGGTAGAATGAGCTACTGAAGTCATCTTTTAAAGAAGTGACACCCCAAGAGGTTATTTTCGTACTCCTGGACTTCACCTGTTGTACCATTGCAGGGCTTTTGAACAACTCTTTCTGAATATGAGCATCATTGAAACTGGTTGAGGACATTTGATTATTCAGTGGAAGAAAACCCAGCAGAGAATTTCTGTAGTTAACAGGAATGCACAGAGGATGTGTGTGAATCAGACAAAGAGGAGCAGAGAAGTGCAACATGCAACTAACCTTCTGCAACCGCAGAAGCTGGAGAAGTTATGTTGTCATTCTGCTCTTTGCTGGTGAATTACTGTTTCAGTGTGATGAAATAATTTCTTAGCTGTGCTATGGGAGTAGGTAGAGAAAATAGAAATTCAAACTGCAGGCTTCCATAGTAACCTGATCTTTTTTTGACTCCAAAACTAGCATTTGGCTCACTGACATGTCTGATGAGTGCTGTGCAATAATGTAATGCAGTGTCTTTAAAATACTCATATTATAGACAGCTTTTTGATATCCCATACCTCATGAAGAGTTGGTTTCACTTTTGCTTTATGAAATGCAGATTTTCTACTTCATATACTACCTGTTTTTTTCTTTTGATAGATCCAAACCTCAAAGACCAAGGCAACCAGCAGAGTGATGGTTCTCAGTTACCAATGAATATGATGCAGCAACAAATGAATGTAATGCCACAAGTGAATGCACAGCACCAGCCTATGAATATCTTCCCGTATCCAGTGGGTGTCCATCCTCCTCCCATGATGAATATGCAAGGAAACCCTTTCAGCATCCCCCCTCCAATGCCCATGCATCATCTCCCTACCGGAGTGCCTCTCATTCAGGTAGCTGCACCCACAAATTTGTCTCAGGGATTACCTCCGCCTCCACCTCCACCCCCACCATCTCAACAAGTCAACTACATTGCTTCACAGCAAGATGGAAAACAGTTGCAGGTATGCTTTATCAGAAGCCATGGCAAGAGCAGTATCAAAGTAATACCAGTTTAAGGGTCTCTTATATTGAATACCATAATCTTGATAAATTTATACTTGCAGTTTTTTTCTCTCTTGCCTGTCTTCTTTCGCCCCACACTAAATTTAAAGTGAAGGTATCCATGAGGATCTGAGTTGGTTTGGGGCTATAGCTTTTAAATAATGATACACAACCCCATAACTGGGTTTTGTGGTAGCAAGGCATTTCAGCTGGTAATGGAACACTGAAAAATTTCATCAGTGTTGTCCATTACCTTTTTCTTCTTACAAATGCCTCATTTCCAAAACTAAGTGTTCTCTTTCAAAACCTGATTCTTAAGCTTTAGGATATGTTTGAGTCCCCTTTTATCAGCGTGTAGGAAAAGACCTAAACATTGTTGTTGCAATTCTCATCCCAGCAGAGGACAAAGTACCAAGTACTGCGTGACACCCAGTTGTTCCACACTTCCATTCTCCAGCTGTCATTGTCTCAGCAGCTTCCTCACACATACGTATTTTCTGTTCTGTTCAGTCTTTTGAGCCTTTTTGTTAGTAATTTCCAAGCTTTCTTTGGTATGTTCTGCATCCCCTTTCTTGCCTGAACCTCCCCAGGGTTTTGCATGCCCAGTTTGAGACCTAACTCCCACTTCATTTCTCCAGTTTCAAAAAGATTGCTGGGCTTGGGGCAGGTCAGACCATCTTTTAGTGCCTTTCAAGCAGTCTTAAAACAACCTTAGTGTATGTGAGCTCTTCCTGTAGCCAGCTGTTTATATTAAGAGCTTTTATATCAGGGAAAGGAATATGAACAACTTCTAGTAGAATGCATGGCCCTGCAAGGAAATGTAACACTGCATCTGTGATGTGTGAAGTGCTCTTCAGGGGTTGACTGAGGTTTGTGTTTTTCTTCTGTTGCAGGCTGCTTGCTCTAACCTAAAATGCTTTCCACTGCATTCCAGGTTAAAAAGTGATGTTGTACAACAATGATTTCTGACCCTCTGTTTTCATCCGTCATCTCTAAAAATTGGAAGTGAACTGATAAATTGCTTATATTCTTTTCACTTTCAGCTGCTGTTACCATTCATAGTCATTAACTTAGAACAAAAGGAGCTTAAGTACTGTGGGAAATACTGAGGGGGTTTATAGGCCATTTGAAGTAAAGTATACTCTGCAAGGTACCATTGGAACTAAAATGCTGGTAGACTGCTTGTTGATTTGAGTAATGCCTGCTGTCTGTAATTATTTTCACAACTGGAAATCCAGTAGGTTTAACCCCTAAAACTGTAAGAAGTCAGAACGTAGGCTACAGACCTCTGTGAAACAGTATCTAGTGCAGCAATAAATACGTTTCTGTATGTGTGTGTTGCTCAAAAATACAGCTATTTGTTAGCAAAGCCCCTGTTAGATTTGTTGCTCTCGCCTGCTTTTGTGAAATGGTGTCCATGAACCTAAATGCTCTTGAGAGCTGCTGCTGCTTTGTCTGAGTTTTCACTGAACAAGTCCTTGGTGGTAGCACAATAGGAATTACTGAATGCTGCAGGACTCCACCTGTCCTTCCTGTTGAAAGGAAGATAAAAGAGAGCGCACTGGCGAGCATCAGGATGCTGATTGAAACAGCTCAATATCTGTGTCCTTTCCAAGGAGCTCAAGTTCCTGTTTCATTATTTTTTCACCTGGATAAATGTAGATGTAAAGGGAGCAATGGTGATTACCCACAGGAAGAAAGCAGCAGTTAGGTTAGCCTGCTGGAGACAGGTTGGGAGTGTGGGTTCTTGGCTTTTGCCAGAAGTGAGCTGTCTGAGGTCTGAGAGCTACTTAATTTCTCAGTTCCAAAGTATCAGCAGTGCCCGGGTCTATCCATGGAGTTTGGAAACGTACAGAAAATGGCTTTTCCTGAGGAACAGGTCCTGGTGCTTCAACCAGCATTTCACCTCTAGGCTCAAGTAAGCTTGTAGGTGATTTGAAATCCGTTTGGAAGTTCAAGCTGATAAGAAGCATGAAAGTAAATGTGTTCTCAGAGCAGCATCGTTGTGATGCAGGAATGCAGGTGTGGTCTGAGGTTGCTTGAGTGTGTGTTTAAAAAATGTTACTCTGTGACAAGTAGGGAGGTTCTGCAGCCTTGGGGTTCCTGTCCCTTGTGCGCACTAACATCTTCCATGCCTGTTTGCGGGGTACTTTGGTTGTTTTATCCTTGGGATCAGAGCAAGAATCTTCACCACCTCCGTGGCGCATGGAGGAGGCTTTACTCTTCAAGCTTCACCTTTTTTTTCCTCTGAGTAGATTTGATACAATGTGTGTACCTTCCCTAATAATGAACAGTGTGGAAATTAGCTGATGAACCAAAGCACGTAGCATTCGTGCTCTTTCTGTAGCTGCTGAGACTGTTAGAAAGGCGTATTGTCATACTGAAGGATAACTGTATTAACTGCTGGTAACTTTTTGAAACAGGGTATTCCAAACGCTGCTCATGTAAGTAATAACATGAGTGCTCCAGCCTTGCCTGCTCCAACAGCAGTCCTGGGAAACACGGGAACAGTTCAGGGACCAAGCTCGGGTAATGCCACATCGTCAAGTCACATCAAGAGCGTTAATGCAGCTGTAAAAGTGGGAGAGAACAAAGCAAGTGTGACAGTGGAAGCCAGTGCAGATAGCTCGAAGAAGGACCAGGCAAGTTCAGAGTATACTTATATAGACACTGTTTTTTGTATTTATATATAAAATAGATATTAAAATTTTCTATATTATATATATAATTTTGTACACTAAAAAATAGCAAACCATGACAAGTATCCTTTTGTGTAGTATGCTCGATATCACGTATGTGATACTTTTGTGGCAGCTGTAGCACGTAAACTAGCAAGCCTTTTTTTATGTAGACCCCTTTAAAGCATCACTGTTACGAATATCACTTTAATTGCGGCGGGACAGCATCCCGGTCTGAGTAAAACACAGGCAGGTTCATGAGAGTTGAAATGTGACTGAGAGGAGTGTGGTTCTGTCAGTCTTTGTAATGCCTTATATTCTGTAAAGTTTCAATCTGTGATAAAATGCTCTATCTGCAGGCAGTGAAAAATAACACTCAGGTTTGTTTCTTGATCAGAAATTGTTAATTCAAGAGAAAGCAGCACAAGAGGTCAAACTGGCTATTAAACCCTTCTACCAAAATAAAGACATCACTAAGGAGGAATATAAAGAAATAGTGCGAAAAGCTGTAGATAAAGTAAGTTGACCGAGTAATCTGAAATGTGTGCGTTTCCATTGAAGTGGTGTTTGGGGTAATTTCTCAATCTTGTGGCCACAGCTGGTAGTTGCTGGGAAAGGGGAACAGGCAAAGCACAAACACTTTCATCTTCCTCCATCCACGAGAGCTCTCTTGGCTCCTCGCAACATTCCACATTCACCGGGAGAAACGGTTGGATGGGAATTCAGAAGTACTTAGGAAGCAGTTGGGAAGTACTGGTTGTTTCCAGAGTTCTGCCTGAGGTGGGGAAACCTGGGGTGTTGGGAAAATAAATGAATGATGTGGAACAGTGGCAAATGACCAGCAGTGTTTCAAACAGGGTCTTTTCTCTGAAACTGTTTCAGGTTTGCCATAGCAAGAGCGGAGAAGTTAATTCTGCCAAAGTGGCAAATCTGGTGAAAGCCTATGTAGACAAATACAAACATTCACGGAAGAAGAACCCCGAAGAGGCCGTCTCCTGTGAGAGGAAATAGAATGTGCTTTCAGTTGTTAATTTTCTTCTATCTGCAAAGTGCAATTGCAACATGAACCGTTAACTGAAACTTGTACATGACACTGATTTGAACCTGGGTTTGATAAAATTATTTTTCAATGTAGTATATAATGTTTTGTTCTAAAGAAATAGAGACCTGCAGGGCAACTTCTTTATTCCTTTTTAAAAGCAGATGTCTAAAAAAGAAATGAAATGTGTAAAGAAGAATCATTAGGGATGTACGATTGTGTGGATACTTAGATGTACAGCATTTTGACTTGAATAACAGAGTGCATTAAACTAGAAACTTCGGAGTACGTTGCTTTTGGAACAGGTATGTACAGTCCATGGAATGGGTCAGATTTAAAATGATTTTTTTCTTTTTGATTTATCCCTAATTATAGCAAATATAAAGTAATGTATTGCCTTGACAGAGATTTCTAGCGTTAACTGGACAGGCTGAATGCAGGGGTCACAATGTGTATATAAAAAAGCACATGGAGTTGGCTGAACAGAAGAACTGTTTAGATTTTAAAGAGAAAAATGATGAAGGGCAGTGCCCAGAGCCATGGCGCTGCGCATCTGTTGTAACACCAAATAAAAATGATGCTGCTTGGTTTTGTTTGTATGTTTTTCGCTTTGTTTCAAGATAGCTGGGATGAACTTGAATGACTTTTATGTGCTGACATACACACACACACTGACAACCTCAGATCATGTCTAACCCTGCCCTTAGCCAGTGGGGAATTAGTATGCTAGAGCTGGATGTTCAGAGACACAAACCAGTTTCTTCTTCAAGTCAAGTGGAGGAGTTGGCATTTGTTACTGGGCTCCCAGCTCATCAGAGAGGGCCAGTGGTACACATCTTAGCTGCATAGTGCTTTTTCTTCATTAACTAGGGCCTGTAGCATGGAGCTCCAGACTGGGATCAATGAATGGGTGCAGTCTGAAGTCACATGCAACAACTTTTCTCCTTCCCCTGAGCACTTTTGTGTAGGGAGGTCAGTAGAGGTACCACAAGCATTTTAAAAGCAGATGTGGGGGTCACCAAATGTGCCAGGGGAATGCCTACGCCTAAGGTAAAGCCGGTTTCACTGACATAGGAGCAAGGAGAGTTGCTGGAACACTGAGATCATTACTTGTTCCTTACAGAAGGAACAGCTTGGGATCCATCCATATTTGAGTGGAGAAGTATCCTTACTCTGAGACAGGAATATTTGTTCCCTTACTCTCAGACATGACCATTTCAACACTCCCCCTCCAGTCCTGCCATGCAGCAACAGCCTTTGGCATTGGCCCAGCCTGGATTCCGCTCCAGCCCCAGATCTCCTGGCCCAAAAACCTGCATAAACCGCTTGGACAGAAAGGATCAGTCAAGTTTTCTGAGCAGTTACCTCTTTGTAGTTCCCCATTTGACTGGTCTGGGCAGAAAACCCAGCCTTGCCCCGTCAGTAATACCTGCAGAGGCCTGAGGATGAAATAAGGGACATGCACCCCCCTGTACACATGTGGTTAGAGAGAGATACATGTATGTGTAAAATGGGTGATGTTTGTCACAAGGGTTGGTCACTTGGTTTTAACCATGACTTTTCTGCGGGGTTAATGAAGCATTTGACTGTGTGTATTTATTTTTATGTGCCTCAATAAAAATGCTGTGTAAATTAGACACAGAATACATTTTCTACAGTCAAAGCAGGTTTTAGCTTTTTCAGAGCACTCAGTTTTACACTGTGGTAGTGATTTGTATGATCTCTTGAACTATTTTCAGCTAAAAGGGGTTAGCACTTTCTGAAAGATGTTGTAGCAAATTGCTATGTCTCTCCTGGTTTATCACGCCATGCGTACTTGATTTCTGTTTCCTTTTCCTTCTCTGGACTTCTAGATTTTAATGCCTTTTTATATCTTTATACAGTCGAGCCTTGCTATAAAGCTCCTTTCAGGAGCCGGAGAAGCGTTCTGTGGGTTGTTTTCCCCTTCTAGAGGAGAAGTGGGAATGGGTGGAGGATTCAAACTGGGAGATGGGGTCACTGATTCCTTGTGTTGCAGCTCCTGGCTGGGAGATAAGCTGTCACTTGCTGCCACGTTGCTGGGGCAGTGACTATAGTGATGCTCCACTGTATTTCAAAGCATAATGAAGAAGATGGATAGAATAGCACGTGATCAGTAACTTTATTTTTTACAACGAAATACTTCAGAACTTAGCAGAAAAGTTCAATACAATGTCGGTGTTGAATTAAAGAAATGCATTGCCTTAATCCATAGCCTCTCCTCTTATTTTTTCCTGAAGAGCAGTAAGGGAGGCACATACCTCAACCTTGTTTGTTAAATAGCTTGGAAGCTGGATTTCTATTTATTGGAACTCCTTGTGCTGCAGGTCCCAGCGTGCACTGGAGGCAGGGGATGGGGACGCTGAGCCCCCGGGTGGTGGTAACTCCATCGACACAAATTGCCTTGAGGAAAACGATTGCTGTGTACTGTGTGTGAACTGATGCAGAGCAAAAGGGTTTTCTTTGCACTCCTTGCGCTCACTGTGCGTGATGCTTGAATGTCTTATCCTGAAGATGGATCTTGTGAGCACAGTGGCTGGCCAAAATCCATCATATGGTGTCTGTAGCATAAGGCTGGAGTGCTGTCTACTGAAAAAAATACTCTAAAACTCCATTTGTGTAGTGCTTAACACTTTCTAATAAACGTTTTTCACTAACCTGGCAGTTGTCCATGTCTGGTCTTGAACGGGTCTGTCTCAAGTGGTTTAATTCCAAGTGAATGGCTGAAGGAACTGGGGTGGTTTAATCCGGAGAAGGGAAAAACTGGGGGAGACAACACCGTATCACTCCCTACAACAAAGCGAAAGGAGGATGGAGACAGGAGGTGGGTGGTCTCTTTTTCCCAAGTAACAAGCGACAGGACAAGAGGTAGCAGCCTCAAGCTGCGCCATGGGAGGTTTAGATTGGGTATTAACAAAAACTTCACTGAGAGGGTGCTCAGGCATTGGAACAGGCTGCCCAGGGCAGTGGTGGAATCACTGTCCCTGGAAGTGTTCCAACACCATGTAGATAAGGCCCTCAGTGATCTTGATGTAGAGCATCTCTTCCGACCGAGTCGGTTCTGTGATTCAGACAGCAATGTGTAATTACCATTGCTTCTGTACGTACGGCTCTTTAATCATCTTACTCCGTGTTGTTTGGGCTCCCCCTCCTTACCGTCTGGTTTGTTTTCAGTCAGCCCGTCCTCCCCCTGCCTTGCCTGCATGCAGATGCTCCAAGCTGAAATGAGCTAAATTCATGTGGCAACACATCCACGTACTGCGTGTGCTGCAGTGGTGACTCAAGGTACTGGCTTTGCAAAACATTGTGGGGTTTGGCCTATGATCTGATCTGCTGCATGGACCACACAGGGGCAGGACCCAGCTCAACCCTGTCCTACGCACCATGTACCCATCCAAGCAGTGGGGTTCGCTGAAAGAGCCCATGGGGGATTTCAGCACGTGGGAGCCCACCTTCCTGGGGAGCTGTGTCCAGGCATCACTTCGCGTTCTAGGATTAACCCCAGTGTACTTCCCTACAGTACCTCCACAGATCATGCAGACACAAGCTGTGTGAGAGCCTCTTGCTCTTGAAGGCGGCTGGCTGGCTGCTCCATGACATCCCAACTGGATTTGTTGGGTCTGGGATGCTTTGGCTGGGCGGTAACATCCAGGGTGGGAAAGGATCCTCTTACCCGGTGCTGCTCTGAGGGTGTCTTGGTTCTGTCACTCTGCACTTGCTCATAGATGGCCTACATTGAAGAGCAAGGGTGGACACAAAAGTCGTGACTCGGGCTTGATGAGGAGGGAGGCCCAGAGGTGTCAGTGCCTTGAGGCCGAGGCTTCAGAAAGAGAGAAGAGCACTCGGAGGCCTGCGCTGCAGCTGTAACCAGCTCCGGAAGCTGCAGTTACAGCATTCACATCAATCAATCAATGTGTTACAAAAAGTAGAGACAAGAATAAGGACAATAAAGGAGAAGTGTTCAAGGCCAGGCTGGACGGGGCTTTGAGCATCCTGCTCTAGTGGAAGGTGTCCCTGCGCACAGCAGGGGGTTGGAACGGGATGAGCTTTTTAAGGTCCTTTCCAACCCAAACCATTCTGTGACAACCAATTTCATTAATTAAAGAGTATTTATCAATCAGATGCATCAGTAATGGAGCACTGATGGAGACACACTGACCTAGAGGTGAAGAAAACCAAGCCCCCAATACAAAAAGCACGGGTAACTGCACAAACCCACCTGAAGCTGTGGGAAGGCAGAGGCCGGGATATGGAACTTGACTCTTTCTTTTCCAGTGTTACTCGCTCACTGCTCCCATGGCTTCGCGAGCGATCTTCATTTCCACAGAGTGCAGTACATAGAGGGGATCACAGCAATGCAGTAGGTGCTCATTACACGCAGCAAACAATCAAACCAGGGTGGAATCCAGCACAGGGAAAAATGACTGCAGGAGCCAAGCCCGAGGAATTTTGGCAGCAGGATATCATGTAATTATGTTCAAGGAATTACACCTGAAACCACTGGATTTTTTATGAGGAGCATCAATCAAAGCGCCAGTGATTCCTCAGTGCTTCGGTGCAGCAGCACGTGGGATGAAAGACGGGAATAACTCCTGGAAGTCAGAGTTCACCTATAAATTCCCAATCGTCTTGCAAAAGCTTGGAGCTCTCGAGGACCAGGACAGCAGCTTGCACGTGGTGGGGAGGGGGTACCCCATCAGCAGGTAGGAACATCGCTGCCTTTTTTCCTCTCCAGGAGTCAGAGGGACCCCTGATGTGCAGGTACTGGGGCCGCAGACACTGATCAAACTCACTGGTGACCAAAGCACAGCCACCGACTCGCTCTACCCAACGCTGAGAGGAGAGTGGAGCTTCTCCTTGCTGCTGGCAGCATCAGGAGGACCGGGATCCCCAGTAATGCCTGCAGGCATGAAGCACCCAAAAGGGAACCTTCCTGTTGAGAGCATCCAGGAGGAAAGGCTGACACACACTCAGCTTGCTCAGGGGCATCCTTTACCACTGCACGGCACCTGGCAGTTAAATGGCCATCTCAGACTGATAAAACCCTAAGATACTCCCCTTGCAAATACAATGACAACTCTCTTGGAGGCACAAGACCTGCCTCTGATTTGAGTGTCTTTAAGTGTCTTTAATGCCAGCACACTACAGAGCTGCTGCTGCTGCTGCACATGGCTTTGCTCCGTAAGCTCGGCTTCCCTGAAACACAAGGGATTCAGTGGCCAACACGGGGGGGGTGAGACCCTCCCTCCAGGGGGTTCAACCTCCACCTCCCTCCCTCCCTTGACACTGCAGCCACATCATCAGGCTGAGGAGTGCACAAGGAGATGGGCTCTGTGGGCTCGTGTCAAGCCCTCGGTGCCAGCCCAGAATCCCCGGGCAGCTCCCAGAGGGGAGCTCAGTGGCTGTTTGAACTCCAGGAGCTCTGACGAGCACACACACACACACACCATAGCTGGTGCTGGCCAGCTCTCTCCTGCAGAAGTACCGGCCCCTCTTCCCTCTCCCCTACTGCTCCCTTCACTGGTGATCGGCCGAGCAGCTGAGCTCCAGCTCACCTTGCCAGGGGCCAGG